CTCGCTTATAGTTTATCTTGTTTTTAATATTTCACGAGCAGATTAATTTCAACATCCATGATACTCAATAGAACAGCTGTATTGAGATTCATTGATGGTTATGCCCAGTTATCCATTTTTCAATATTTCCTCAAAGTATGTCCATGAGTACATTAATGTATATTATAGAACACAAACTGTCAAATTACATTTAACAAATGAGTGTGTGATTATATTTCTACTTCATAACATTCAGTATAACCGGAGTTCCCCAATATAATAAGAACCATTTCTCATTTGTTCATAATCCATATTATTGTCATCTTGTTGACCAATGGCATTTTGTTAACTTGAAGAAATATTGTCCAACATATTTTGTTGGTTGGATGTTCATAAATGTCTGCGGGAGAGGAACGAGGGAGAGCGGCTAACACAAACAACAATATGCCATCATTAATTTTTATTAATGTTTTACGATTATTTACAAATAATATTATGTTGCCACTTGCCTCAGGCAGTGACATTAATGTTGCATGTTGGCTGCCACCTATTCTTCTTTTCTTCTATATTGGACCTGTTCATCCAGCGGCAATGTATTTCTCCAAGCAAAGACATTGTTACAGCATTGTTACTATTTAAGTTCGTTACCAATAACTGTAACCAGAACCCGAACATGTTAAATAATAATTATAACAAGTTGCCCCGTAAAAAATAGAGTACCTACCCAACAATTACACGAAGGCTATTTTAAATTCCACGAAATTAACTTAAAATCAAAATTAAGGTATTCTTTCAGTTGTTTTTTTAGGGAAAATGCCGCTATTCTTTCAACGTCAACGAGCACCCCATACCGCACATGACATGTCATTGAACTTGTCCTCGCTTTGACTGTCTGCTTTTGAAGAGCAAATGTTTAGAGAATTGTTCTGCTTAGCTTTTCATACTTGGATTTTAGAAAGACCGAAAAAACATCAACAACCGAAAAACAATTAACATATGCTTCGGGCGAAAAACGGTGCACTAACCTATATTTTTATGACCCACAGACTGACTGCCAGAAAGAACAGAACAATCTTAAAATGATGTATGTTGAGGACACATGAACCGAACCAACCTAACTAAAGCTGAAGTTGAAGTGAGAAATAAATCATAAAAAGTAATAAAACCTAAAACGAGCCAAACAAAAAAATACAACACATAAACCCAAGTGACAGACAGATTTTTGGGAGAAGATAGGTTTTGTATGAATGAATGAAGGAGAATAAAAGAAAAAATAGTCAACAACTTGAAATGGAATGACATTGCACAAAAACACACTAAAAAATTAAAAGACAGGGAGACAGTTTAATTAATCAGATAACAATAAAGTGTTTATAAATGTTAATTTTTTTTTAATAAATTTTTATTTCAAATTTTTGTTGGACAATGGAAAGAAAAACGATTATTATATAGGAACCATATCAGGAGAGATAGTTTTAAAATCCAATACATCAAATTAGAACTAAATCGATTGAAAAAAACTTACCCAAAATACGGAATATTGTGGGTACCGTTAAATGGGGGTGATCCCCTGAAATTGTTGGTAGATAGATTTTCTAATTTCCAAATTTAAGGATAACGCTATTTCACATTTTCAATACAAAGCATCCTAGGATTGGGTGCAGGGATGGTCCGTATGACGAATTTTTAGGTTTTCGACTGTCAAAAAGGTGTAAACGTCGAAAACGTCATATGCCTGTATAAAATGTAATAAATGTATAAAACGTCATTTATTCGAATATTATTAACATATACCGTTATTTTCAAAAATCCATATTATTTTTACATATATCTGTCTGTTCCTTACTAGAACTAATACAAAATTCTAAACCTTTCGGAGAAATTTTTTTTGAAATTTTTATGGATTTCAATAAAGCATGCGTAATTTCCAAATTCATTAATGGAAATAGGTATTTTGTAAAACCCTAATTGTTTTGGGTGGGTTTCCGACGTTTCTGACGTATGTAATATACGTCGGAAATGTATGTCATTTACGTCACTGTTTCTGACGGACCATCTCTGATTGGGTGTAATGTTGGTCAAAATTCCGTTATATCACATTTTCAAATCAAAAGTTCTGTCTTAAATATTTCGAATATTTCGGTGTACAAAAACTTGATTTGAAACCTTTTACTCTACAGTATAGTAAATTTGTTGATCGGAAATGTAAAATAAGTATCCGTTCCACAACTTCCTTGTCTTACTTCCTTTGTCAGATTCAAAAAAAAAAAAAGTAAGGAAGTAGTAAAGTCGGACTGGGCCTACTATATGATACCGTTCACCACGTTGGGTATATTCTACATATCGACGCCTCCGAACCATAGTATGCTAAGTCTGAAAAGTGAGTTTTTCAGTAGAAGCTTTCAAAGTATGGAAGTTTCTTTAATCGTACCTGCCATGCTAAGTACATTTTTGCTTATAACTTTGGTTTGGATTGGCCGATGATTACCAACATTTTAGTGAATTTAAATTAAGGACCGTAGTATCTAAAACGTGAAGAACTTTAAAACATGCTAAGTCGACTTAGCATACTATGGTTCGGAGGCGTCGATATGTATCCTAACAGACGTCGCCTTTTCGAAGGAACATTGTTATGAAATTTAACGAACTCAATTATCTGATCTTTATCTATAAATGCACCGACTAACGTTAATCCATACACATCCCCTTCTACAATCAATTTTATTCGGGCAGATTTATAGTCGTTTGCGTGCAATGGGACACATTTAACAGAACGATTTCAACAAAACGCCATAACGTCATTCTAGTCTCAATTTGATACGTTGTTATGTGTCAATCGGACAAACATTAGGAGTTTCGTGCACCATTTACCTAAAATCGGTTATATATATATATATATATATATATATGGGAGCTATATCTAAATCTAAACCGATTTCAACGAAACTTGCCAGCGATTAATGTATATTTACTTCAGTGCATTGTACAAAATTGTGTGCAATCGTACTAAATTTGAGTCTTTAAGGGGATCCCCCTCGGTTTCAAAAAATTATTTTTGTATTTTGATCTAATTCGAATCTACGCTAATTCAACAATGCCCTATGAAATTTCAAGTGAAAATCTCAACAACTCTTGAAGATATAGCCGATTTATTGTGCAAGCATCAAGTGCCCGCAAGAGGGTTTCTCAAACTTAAAATGCGTTTTTTTCCAAACGGCGTTTTTGCGAATGGCGGGCACGATAACTCAAAAACGAATAACCCAATCGATTTCAAATTGTTGGGCATTTCTCTGTGAGGATATGATCTTCCTTATTTTTCAACTTAGTTTCAAATTTCCGCCATTTTGTTAATTGTTGTGCGAAGTCATACGAGAGCCAGATATGTACTCTTTCTAACACCGTTGGAATTTTCTGAATCTTAATGCAGAATTTACATAAAATCGGAAGAAAATATAAGGTTGATGAAAAAGAAAGCCATTATTTTATATGAACTATGGGACTTTATTTAACATGCTTCGGAATGTCCGCGCCAAATATGGGCTACATATGCACCGTTTTGTAACTTACTTAAAGGTAACTTCATAATGCCTCTCTCATAGAAGTCCTGCTCTCTATTTGCAAAAAAATGTTAGTAGTCTAGATACCAATTTTTTATCCTTAAATAAATTGTGCAATGCAAGAAAAAAATTATAATCGTTTGGTGCCAAGTCCGGACTGTATGGCGGATGCATTAAAACTTCCCAACCAAGCTCCCGAAATTTCTGGCGAGTCAACGTAGATGTGTGTGGCCTAGTCTAATGGTTACATTTATAACCAGAGAAGTTAGTTTTTTCGGTACATCATACTTAAAAAAATAAATTTCGAGAAAACAATGAACCGGTTTTCTAAATTTTTGAATCGGATATTCAGATAATAAATCCGATAACAGTCCGGTTCAATAAATTTACACATTTGTTTGAAACTGGTTTTATTATCCGAATATCCGGTTCAAGAATTCAGAAAACCGGTTCTTTTTTCGTCGAAATTATTTTTTGGAGTATTTGACATAACTATATATGTTTTTAGAAAATAATTCGAACTAATCCGACAGTTATACATAATAATGAATGTATACTGAATTTATAAAGAAAAAATGAGACCGTTTTCTAAATAGTTGAACCCAATATTAAGATAATAAACCCGATAATAGTCCGGTTCAATAAATTTAGCACATTTGTTTACTAGCTTTCTAATTATATGAATATAACGTAGATGTGTGTGGCCTAGCGTTATCCTGGTGGAACACGACATATCTCCTGTTGGCCAATTCTGGCCGTTTCTGGCCAATTGTTATATTCAAACGATCCAGTTGTAGACAGTAAAGATAAAAATTTAACGTTTGGCCATATGGAAGCAACTTATAATAAATAATCCCCTTCAAGTCTTTCCTGGACGTTAGTCCTGGTTTGGCCAGCGTTTGAGGTGCTTCGCCGTTCTTTGACCATCGTATGTGATCCATTTCTCATTTCCAGTCACCATCCATTTAAGAAATGGGATTTATTTTCCCCCAACATAATATATATGACAGCTATAAACCAATGTCAATGTCTATACATATAGGTTCCAAAACAGAGCAATGCACTTCAAAAATCCGATTACGACAGTTTTATTAAGAACTACTGATCCGACGTCAGCTACTTATACTTTGATTTATTAGTGGTTCGTTTTAGGTAACTCCTATCGCGATGGGTCAATAAAACTTAATTTAATTCATCCAACAATGTTTCATTGTGCATTATCGCTACACTATATACCGTCTGGGGGCTTTTGTGCCCAGCCAATAAGGCGACGCAGTTTGCAATGTTCGAAATCAAAACATTTTAAATCACAAGCATATCGGGGCAATATCAAAGATAACGATAGTAAATGTTTTTGGTTTTAAATGAACTAATCCACTAACAATGATAAAGGAATGCTCTATATAAGTTTGCAAGTGCTATGGATCAAGTATCAGTTTCCAGTTGTTAGTTCCCAGTGAAACAATGAAAGTTCTCTTAGTTTGTGCCTTGTTTGTGGCCTGTGCCAATGCCGGCCTTGTCTCTTCGATTAGAGATCGGATTATGCCCAGCTTTGCCACTGGTCGCATCATCAAGGGTCAAGATGCCGTACCCCACTCTGCTCCTTACATTGTCTCCTTGAGCAAGACCTCCAAACACTCCCACATCTGTGGCGGTAGTTTGATCAACAAAAACTGGATTTTGACTGCTGCTCACTGCATTAGCAATCCCGTCGGTATGGGTGTTGTTGCCGGCCTTCACGAACAAAAATCTTTGGACTCAAAGACCCAATCCCGTGTGGTCGACTATGGTAAGGTACATGAATTGTATGGTGGCAGTGTTGGACCCTATGATATAGCCATCTTGCACGTTTCCGAACCCTTCGAATTCAACGAATGGGTGAAACCAATTGCCTTGCCTGCTCCCGAAGAAATTCCCGCCGGTGAAACCCATTTGTATGGCTGGGGCCAACCTAAAGCCTTCTCGTTCGCTGCTGCCAACACTTTGCAGACCGTCACTACCCAAATTGTTGAATTCAACCAATGCAAGAGTGTATTGCCCGCTGATGCTCCTTTGGCTGAGAGCAACGTTTGTTCCGACTCCTTGCAACAAAGCATTTCTGCTTGCAATGGTGATTCTGGCGGTCCATTGGTTAAGGAATTCGCTGAAGGTAGTGCTGAATTGATTGGCATCGTTTCCTGGGGTTACATTCCATGCGGTATGGCCAATTTGCCTTCGATCTACACTCGTGTCTCATCTTACATCGAATGGATTAACCAGGCTCAAACTAACTTCTATTTGGCTTAAATTGTTTAGGATTTAGGTTAGTGTGATTTATAAAGATACTGGAAATAAAAAAACGAATTAGACGAATTTATATAGTAAAATGTTCGCCTCTAAATTTATTTTGTCCAATTTGATGGGAAGAAGTTCGTTGGGGTTTAAGGGGACCCCACCCATTCTCGATTTTAATTTTTCAAGATTTTCAATGGGCTGGTAAATCAATACCAATGCTTGTTAAGGTTTGCAACTTTGCACATATATATTTGAAGATTTAAAAAGGAAGAAAAATAATTTACAAAAAAATTTTGTTGTTGTTTTTTGTAATTAAAGAAAAGTCCTTATTTTTGATGGCGGGCATGATAACTCCTCACTGGAACATCGGAATCCGAAAATTCCAACGGTGTTAGAAAGAGTACATGTCTGGCTCTCGTATGAACTAGGATTATTGACTTCGCTCTAAAATTAACAAAATGGTGGACCTTTGAAAAAATATTTTTGGAAAATCGCCGATTTTTGACCAAAAACCAAGTTAAAAAACAAGGAAGATCTTCACCGATTGGCTTTATCCTAGTTCATACGAGAGCTATACACTCCCAGAGAAACGTTGCAAAATTTGGAACCGATTGGATTATTAGTTTTTGAGTTATCGTGCCCGCCATTCGCAAAAAAATGTTTAGAGAAAAACGCGTTTAAAGTTTGAGAAGCCCTTCAGACGTCACTTGATGCTGACACAATAAATCGGCTATATCTTGAAGAGTTCTTGAGATTTTCACTTGAAATTTTGTAGAGACATTCTTTAATCAGTGTAGATTCGAATTTTATCAACAAAAATTTTGACCCCGAGAATGGGGGGGGTCCCCTTAAAGAAATTCGTCCTGTAAAGATACGAAAAGTTTATAAATGTAATAAACATGCTGGGAAATGGGTCTAATGGTTACATTTATAACCAGAAAAGTTAGTTTTTTCGGTACATCATACTTAAAAAAATAAATTTCGAGAAAAAAATGAACCGGTTTTCTAAATTTTTGAATCGGATATTCAGATAATAAATCCGATAATAGTCCGGTTCAATAAATTTAGCACACTTGTTTACTAGCTTTCTAATGATATGCATATAAGGTATTAAAACTGGTTTTATTATCCGAATATCCGGTTCTTTTTTCGTCGAAATTATGTTTTTGGATGATATTTAAGGACGAAAAGGACACACAGGGAATCGTGTTAGAAGTGTGAAATGTTCTACACAAAAATTCCTAATTCCTCATCCCGTAGATATACCAGAAAAACTTTCTTTGACCACATCCGTATCAAAAATGCGAAATTTCTTGACTTATTTTGAATGTTTTGTACATTATTATGTAGTGACGGATTTGGATTCGCTACTTCTTTAGCGAATTATTTAAAAACCAATACCGACCATAATTAAAATTTAAGTACCATTTAGTACTCTTGTAGTATTTATTTCCAAAAAAATTCAAATTAACAATTACCTTAACAATCATAATTTCAGGATTCAAACTCTATCGGTTCACCTAAATCCAAATGGTATCAAATTTAGTACCATTTAGTACACATAAGTACAAATTTCCTTTACTACCTACATCATGCAATCCAATGGAAGTCTTTTTCCCAATTTCAGGATTTCAGCTCAATCGGTTCACTCTAAATCCTAATTATACCAAAGTTAGTGTCATTTAGTACACATTAGTAGACAATTCCAAAACTTCCTACATACCCCAATCCAACACCACAACTGTGATACTAACTCCAAATTTTAGGATTCTAAGTACGAGTTTCCAAAACTACACACATAACACAATTCTACACTCCAAAAGTAATTTTAATTCCAAATTTCAAGATTCCAGCTCTGTCGATTCACCAAATTGTATTAATTTTAGCACAATTTAGAACCCATACATACCTTAATTCTACACTCCAACAGTAATTTTTATACCAACTATTTAGAATTCAAGCTCTATCGGTTCAACTAAATCAAAATTGTACCAAATTTAGTACGCATTAGTGGCAATTTCCAAAATTTCCTACGTATCCCAATTCTACACGCCAACAGTGATCCTAACGTCAAATTTCAAGATTCCAACTTAATCGGTTCACCCAAATTCAAATTGCACCAATTATAGTATGATTTAGTACTTTTCGTACACCTAAATAAAAAATCCAAAACCATGTGCAATCCCACATTCATATTGTTATTTTAAATTTCAGGATTCCAGTTAGTTCCCAAGTTAGTACTTTTCGAATAAATGAGTACACGCTTTCAAGACCACCTCCTTGTACCGACCCAAATTCTCAGCCTTAATTCGTATTCAATAGTTCAAGTTTTTAGCTCTATCCGCTCACATAGTACGAAATTGTACCAATTTAGTACATTTTAGTATTTTTCGGATACTTATAGTTCGAATGTCCAATAAAACCATGCCTACATCTATTCAGGTACCCTCATTTCAAATTTAAGATTTCTAGCTCTACCGGTTTTCCAAATGGTGCCCCATTTAGTACTTTACGTGCCGCCTTATCTGATACCTTTGAACCAAGTGTGACCCTAAACCCAAATTTCAAGCGTTGATGAATCTAAATATATCATTTTGTGGTGCAGTAGATATCGGATATAAGCAAATCTCATATAAGAAAAAATCGCATATAAGAAAGATTATCAAAAACACCGAGCCTTTTTACATCTTCTCAGTGTAAAATTTGTTTCATTTAAGAAAAACGCGAATAAGAAAAAACACTGATATAAGAAATGTTTGTCAAACACCTAAGCTGGCAAAGGTATTTGAAAATGTTTCATATAAGAACATATTTAAGATTGTTGTCAGTGAGGCCAACATATGTTTAAATATTGTTAGTCAAACTATGAACTTTTTTTGTTATTTTTGTTTATTTATATTTTTAGTTTTTACGATACTGAATTTTTTCTTACCAAACTGTGATTTAATATCGTAACTTTGAATTTTTATATACTGAACTGTTTTATTTAATAAAATATTATTTAAGAAAATATATTTGTATAAGAAATAGATTTTTATATGCGTAGGTACTCTTATAAGAAGCAACTTTCTTATATCTGGTAATTCCATATAAGAAAAAAATCTCTGACTTTTTTTGAGTTTCTTATATCCGATATATACTATATTTATTTTACGGTGCAAGAAAATAAGGTTGAAGGAGATAAAAGGATATAAAAGGAGGATACCTTTTACAAAAATCTACCTTATTCGATTTGACTTAAGACATGTCAGTTCAAAAATACCCTGTATTAACCGCAAAAAAATATTACGGGTCTTCTTCATAAACGTTAACTCAAGACTTTGACGTATGGCGAATGTGTTTTTCTGGATTCTTAATATACTCGCCGAAGGTTTTCTTCATTTTGTACCTCAGGCCATGAGCGCGATTTTGTTGCGTTCATAATATGGTTAACAAAACCAAGGGTTTTTGGACAGCCCTTGACTACTAAAGAGGTGAAAAACTGTATTTCTTTATTGAGCTTCAAAAATTCGTTATAGCATCTGTAATTAATATTTAATTGCTGCGCGTTCTCCAAAAATATGTTCTTATTGTCCCCAAGATTTATAGGTAATTAAGTTTACCATTATATTCTCATCAGTAATAAAAACTCAAAATTTATCTCAACAATTATTTCAGACTAATTTGCTAAGTGAAATGAAATATTAGTGCTCTGACTTATATATAAAATAAAAAATGTATAGTTTTCCCAAAAATAAAATCTCACGCTTTTTTTCGTTTAAATATCTCCATGAAACTGAAACAATAATTATTTTACAACCTCGCTAAGTGTTGGCTATTTTGTTCTCCCTTTGCTCACAAAAATAGCCCTGACAAATTATATCATTTTTCTCATGCGTTATTAGACTACATTTTGTAGGGAAATGGTTCTTCGTGGTGCCCAGGTGATAAACCGACAATCGTCCATTCCAGTGAATCGACCAACCAACCAACGTACCAAGTAAGAGTGCATTGTTGTCACAGAGGGAAATGTGAAACTAAATCGAAATGCCACCGGAATATGAGTGCGTTCCATAAAACTTTTAATGACTTTCAAACACCGTCATTAGCGGCAATGCAAATGCAACGATGACGGTAATGATTCTGTAAACGAGGTAGCACCGTCTGTCTGTCAGTAGTTAGTCGCTGTGGCAGCCACAACGGAAAATGGTGGTGTTATTTCATTTGTTGTTGCTGTTGTCGTTGACTGCGTACACAATCTTGGATGGCCATTACGACAGGAAACTGTCCAGTGATCATGCCACTGACAAATTACCCGTAACAGTAACAAACATTGGACAAGTGTTTGTTTGCCACCACTTCAGTACTCCCGTGTGGAGTGGAGTCAAGTCCAGTTCACTTTGCTGCAAGTGAATGGTATTTGTGTAGCTATCAGTTAATGTGATATGCAAAACAATGCCAGTAGTTGGCAATTGATCTGTTCAGGCTGTTCTATTCTAGCCGGAGTGTTTTTGTTTCGCCTTTCGCCTATTAGCAGAGCCAAAAAACATTGCAAATTGACTTTGCACTGTCTCCCAGGTGAAGCGTGTGATAATCTACAAGAAGAGTTGTTTTTCAAAGACGGGGGAATAAAGAGTAACAGGCGAATAAGTAATCATGTGTCAGTGGACATATGGTGACCGTAGCCCATCCATTTAACACAACGTGACTGATGTTGTTTGTCTGATAAAGATGCAGGAGTTAAATGTGGCGTGTAAGTATTGCGAAGAAATTTGTTTGCTCTTTAGAAATGAGGCAGAAAATTCTAATGGTGGGTTAGTAAAAAAGAACGTTTCGCTGATAAACCTAATAATTGAATTGCCCAACTTAATTTAAATGTTATACAATTTTCTGCAATTGGGACCAATGTTAGGATCATTTAGATAGCGAAAATCGGGAAAAATGTTAAATAGCCAGGTTGTTTGAAATGTCTTAAATGGGTCAATATCAAAATACAGTCGACTCCGCTTTACTGAAACGGAAAAAATCTGGATG